GGGCAGCCAGAGAGAAAGGTCGGGTTACCCACAAAGGGAAGCCCATCAGACTCACAGCAGATCTCTCAGCAGAAACCCTACAAGCCAGAAGAGAGTGGGGGCCAATATTCAACATACTTAAAGAAAAGAACTTTCAACCCAGAATCTCATATCCAGCCAAACTAAGCTTCATAAGTGAAGGAAAAATAAAATCGTTGCAAACAAGCAAGTACTCAGAGATTACGTCACCACCAAGCCTGCTTTACAAGAGTTCCTGAAAGAGGCTATACACATAGAAAGGAACAACCAGTACCAGCCACTCCAAAAACATGCCAAATGGTAAAGAGCATCAACACAATGAAGAATCTGCATCAACTAATGGGCAAAACAGCCAGCTAGCACCAAAAAGGCAGTATCAAATTCACACATAACAATATTAACCCTAAATGAAAATGGACTAAATGCCCCAATCAAAAGACACAGACTGGCAAATTGGATATAAAGCCAAACCCATCGGTGTGCTGTATCCAGGAAATCCATCTCACATGGAAGGATACACAAAGGCTCAAAATAAAGGGATGGAGGAAGATTTACCAAGCAAATGGAGAGCAAAAAAAAGCAGGAGTTGCAATTCTCATCTCTGATAAAATAGACTTTAAAGCAACAAAGATCAAAAGAGACAAAGAAGGACATTACATAATGGTAAAAGGATCAATGCAACAAGAAGAGCTAATGATCCAAATATATAAGCACCCAATACAGGAGCACCCAGATACATAAGGCGAGTTCTTAATGACTTACAAAGAGACTTACACTCCCACGCAATAATAGTGGGAGACTTTAACACCCCATTGTCAATATTAGACAGATCAAGCAGACAAGCATATCCAGGACTTGAACTCAGACCTGGACCAAGCAAACCTAATAGACATTTACAGAACTCTCCACCCCAAAGCCACAGAATATACATTCTTCTCAGCACCACGTCACACCTACTCTAAAACTGACCACATAATTGGGAGTAAATCACTCCTCAGCAAATGCAAAAGAACGGAAATCATAACAAACAGCCTCTCAGACCACAGTGCAATCAAGTTAGAACTCAGAAGTCGAAAACTAACTCAGAACTGCACAGCATCATGGAAACTGAACAACTTGCTCTTGAATGTTGACTGGATAAAAAAAGAAATGAAGGCAGAAATAAAGACGTTCTTTGAAACCAAGGAGAATGAAGATACAACACACCAGAGTCACTGGGACACATTTAAAGCAGTCTCTAGAGGAAAATATATAGCAATAAGTGCCCACATGAGAAGCAAGGAGAGATCTAAAATTGACACCCTACCGTCAAAATTGAAAAAGCTAGAGGAGCAAGATCAAAAAAACTCAAAACCTAGCAGAAGACAAGAAATAGCTAAGATCAGAGCAGAACTGAAGGAGATAGAGACACAAAAAAAACCTTCAAAAAATCAATAAATCCAGGAGCTGGTTTTTTGAAAAGATCAACAAAATAGACAGACCACTAGCCAGATTAATAAAAAAGAAAAGAGAGAATAACCAAATTGATGCAATAAAAAAGAGAAAGGGGATATCACCACAGATTCCACAGAAATTCAAACCATCATCAGAGATTATTACAAACAACTCTATGCACATAAACTAGTAAACCTGGAAGAAATGGATAAATTCCTAGACATTAGCCTCCTCCCAAGCCTAAACCAGGAAGAAGCCGAAACCCTGAACAGATCCATAACAAGGTCTGAAGTTGAGGCAGCAAGTAAGAGTCTACCAACCAAAAAAAGCCCAGGTCCAGACAGCTTCACAGCCAAATTCTACCAGACATACAAAGAGGAGCTGGTACCATTCCTTTTGAAACTATTCCAAACAATCCAAAAAGAGGGAATCCTTCCCAAATCATTTTATGAGACCAACATCATCCTGACACCAAAACCTGGCAGAGACTCAACAAGAAAACAAAATTTCAGGCCAAAATCCATGATGAACATAGACGCAAAAATCTTTAATAAAATACTGGCAAACCGATTGCAACAGCAAATCAAAAAGCTTAACCACCATGATCAAGTAGGCTTCATCCCGGGGATGCAAGGCTGGTTCAACATACGCAAGTCCATAAACGTAATTCACCACATAAACAGAACCAAAGACAAAAACCACATGATTATCTCACTTGATGCAGAGAAGGCCTTTGACAAAATTCATCAGCCCTTTATGCTAAAAACCCTCAATAAGCTAGGTATTGATGGAACGTAGCTCAAAATAATAAAAGCTATTTATGACAAACCAACAGCCAATATCATACTGAATGGGCAAAAACTGGAAGCATTCCCTTTGAAATCTGGCACTAGACAAGGATGTCCTCTCTCACCACTCCTATTCAATATAGTACTGGAAGTTCTGGCCAGAGAAATCAGGCAAGAAAAAGAAATAAAGCGTATTCAAACAGGAAAGGAGAAAGTCAAATTGTCTCTATTTGCAGACGACATGATTGTATATTTAGAAGATCCCATTGTCTCAGCCCAAAATCTCCTGAACCTGATAGGCAACTTCAGCAAAGTCTCAGGATACAAAATCAATGTGCAAAAATCACATGCATTCCTATACACCAATAACAGACTTAAAGAGAGCCAAATCAAGAACGAACTGCCATTCACAATTGCCACAAAGAGAATAAAATACCTAGGAATACAACTAACAAGGAAAGTAAAGGACCTCTTCAAGGAGAACTACAAGACACTGCTCAACGGAGTAAGAGAGGACACAAACAGATGGAGAAACATTCCATGTTCATGGTTAGGAAGAATCAATATTGTGAAAATGGCCATACTGCCCAAAGTAATTTACAGATTGAACACTATCCCCATCAAGCTACCAA